CACAAATTTCTTTTAAAATGTACGGATATTGTTGACAGTCAGTTTATAATAGGAGATTCTTAATTATTACACTTCAGGTAAACTTTTTAATAGCCTAAATGTGACGTCACATGGTGTTATTTTTATCCATCAATCATCCAGTCTAATATTTTTAACCCTTTCCCACATGAGCATATTGTGAAAAATGGCCGTTTTCAGTGAAAAGCCTCCTGTTACAAGTTCAAACTGCTATGAAACTATGAAAAATGCTTCAATACTAATCAAACTTGGCACAAATGTTGACTAGACCATTGCCTTTGTAAGGACATGCTCAGTCTTAAATTTCCTGTTACCATGGCAACGAGGGGACATCTCAAAATTGCCAAAAATCACTATTTTGCCTCGATTTTTTCCATCAAAATTTATTTCAAAATGCTGCAACTTCTCAAGGGATTGAGTCAAAGGCTTTTCAGCGTTGGTTACACGTTACCTTATGATCGACCTGGGGTCATTTTCAGCATCTCACAAGTCCAAAATTTTCTTGGCGATGAGGGGCACATCCCCCTTCTGGCAACCCCCTGATGTGTTTTTTGGATGGGGGCGGCGCCGAAAAAGTGCTCACTTGTTTTAGCAACATTTCTCAAACGAAAACATGTGTTTGGGGCCCAAATAGGACATTTTTTTCACTATTTCAGGCCTAAAAAAGGGGGGGTCGAAAGTGCGTTGTTTCGCGTATATATGAGGTAAAGGGTTAATATTCCCCAGGGACGAGTAATGTAATGTTCTAGTTCTCTCTCCTGGTCGCTCAAGGGGATAGTATTTTCTGACAATTTTAAAAATATTGATTAAACCAATAGAAATGTGATGAATAATTATATTTTGTCTAGAACCTTTTATTATCTGCTATATGAATACAGGTTATATATGGGATCATGTATCTCACAACTTCTAAATATAGTTCTTTCGTGGTTTGTTATTATGACTGATAGTAAACATAATAATTCATTGCATTACAACCCAATTCACTTTAAAATAAAGACATTATTACATTTCTATTGTTATAATTATCATCATCATCATCTTCATCATCATCATCATCATCGTCGTCATCATCATCATCGTCGTCATCATCATCGTCATCATCATCATCATCGACATCATTATCATCATCACCATCATCATCATCATCATCATTATTATTATTATTATTATTATTATTATTATTATTATTATTATTATTATTATTATTATTATTATTATTATTATTATTATTATTATTATTATTATTATTATTATTATTATTATTATTATTATTATTATTATTATTATTATTATTATTATTATGTTTCACAAACCTTTGACTCAATATCCTAAAATGGACTTGACGAACGATATCTTGGAATCGCCCTATTACCTTGAACCTCTTCCTTTTGATAAAGTATGTCCGTACTAAACTCCACAGGTCACTAGCTGTCCTGCCTTGTCCTTACAGATGAAAGATATAATTTAGTAAAGTAGATTACAAACATTTTCAAAGAACGCTCAAAGAACTCTACTAATTAAAAACATCATCTAAGTGCTAAAGTAACATAGGATGTGTATCTGGATGTGAACGTAACAAAAGTAAATGAGTCCGTTAAATTAAACCAAATTACATCGGGTTTTTTTTTATCAAGAAACGATACCTAAAAGTATAGTTAGATTTATAACCGCCACTCATTTAATACAAAACAAATATCTTTTAATAAAAAAATACACATACAAATTATGTGGCTCTCTCTTCAAAGATGTAAAAAGGAGTTGTTATATTTTTTCTGATTATCCCAGATCGTTGACTACCTTTAGTGATAATAGTTGAATGTTGTGTACGCCTGCGGGCTGGAGAGGGGGCGGGGCCTTAAAGATGTTGCATTTTTCATTGTCTCTCATGAACAGTCTTATAGACTTGGTAAAACCGAGCCTACGAGTCCCACCTATCTGGTTTTTTTTGTTCGAGGACCCCTTAAGGCCTTTCTCAAATTATATGCATACTTTACATTCCATCACCAGAGAGAGGCTAACAGGGCATGAATGTAAACAAACAATGTCTGACCTGACAAGCCCTAGTGTGTTAAACTTACCGGGGAAATCTCATTTTTATTCCACTGTGTTATTCCAATTCTTGATATGATTATACCGTTAATTTTCATATAATACCTAAGGATGTGAGTTTAATAAAGGAAAGGATTGTGAAAATAAGATGGATGAAAGAACATTTCAAGGTAAAATACCATTGTTCTTTTCTTTTTAAACCAAGTTACTTTAGATGTATTACTACTTACAATTTAATTACTCTGATTTCTCATTGTTTTAAATGTTTCATTAAATTATAAACATAATTATATGTTTGGTTCATAAATTTCATTTAATATTTCACACTTATAATGATAACATTTAAAACATAATTGCTTCAGAATCTAAATCAATACCGTTTTTATACTAAAAAGCAATAACGGTTATTTAATGTACTATTTCAGATCAATATTTTGCAATAGTTGCTCGTTTTGAAGCATTTCACACAATAAGATTAACAATCATGGACATAAATTCATATATGTCTGAAGAGAATAGATGTACCCTGTAGATGGTTCGACTGGAGTAATAATGAACAGACCAGTAAGATGAACACTAAAGAAGAAGATTTCATTACCAGATGAAAGGTATACACAAGACTTAATTTTCATTTTATACACATAAACAAAGTTCAGCCCCTGTAAAAAAATATATGTGCAATTAAAATATAAATTGAATAAAATATTCTAGAGATGTCATAATTCTTGTTTCCACTTCTAAATAAAAGGTATATATTTTTCAGGAATTCCACTGGTAACAGTCATGAACACATATTGACAAATGGTATTTGAATCACCTTTAATTGTAATATCTCTTCATGGCAGTGGCATAACAGATGAAAAAGAAACTATCAAACAGTTCAAAGAAGAATTACAGAAAACTAAGGAAGAAAACAAACAGTGATATTGAACGTTTGATACAAATAAATTTTCAAATTTTGACAGTTGTATATCTTGTAATGTTATACAGGATTTTCAGCAAAATTTACTATAATTATATTCATCACAGTTTTCAATGTTATAAAACATCAGCAAAACATTAAGAGCGTTTAATATGATGCAAGCAAAACAATCAGCTTGAATGACGAAATGTTTTTAGCATATTTTAAAGGACCATTTGTTCAGTCTCTTGCGCCTTGAATTTAAATAAAAACTTAAAAAGAAAGCATTGCATTACTTTGCTTTTAACATTGTGCTTTGTTACATAATTATATGGTACAGCTGCAGGGAATATGTCAACATGTTAATTACATTTCATATTTTGTCCTCTCATTGCATTATATTGTTGAGAGAATATTTCTTTGAATGTTAAAAGAAGTGCTAAAACACCATACTGCCTTTCCTAATACCCTCAAACTGCAAGGTATTGCACAGGTTTTCTGCGAATGTTCAGTCCCCTAAGTACATGGATTATAAGGGGTTGGTAAATCCAGGCAACATCCTCTGGAAGTGCCATGTTCCCCAATGATTTGTTATATACCGATCAGTAGAGGGTTCCAACAATATGACCACATAATCAACTCGGACCAACTGGACAAGTGCAATAATCTAATGATACTTCGGCTTCGTCTTAAGATTTGACTGATATTTGCAATGAAATGATTGTATTTAGTTATATACTAAATATTTTATACTGTAATTAATTACATAGTTGATAATATATAAGTTTTAAGTTCCTTACTTAGCATGAAATGTATCTTTACATTGCTGTAAACAATATCATGTGTAATGATACTGAAAATCCATTGAATTGGACGGGGGTGTCATGTTTAAACAAAATATTATTTTGATTTGATAAGGTTGTCTGTAAAATTAACCAGTTTCTAGAGAGTCATCCAGAATTTTTTACTTTTAAATACAAAGTGAATAAAACTTTTTAAAACTTCTTTTATTTCAATAGTTAAATTTAGGGGAAGTATGGTACAGAATTCAGCATCCAACTGTTTACATCTATTATCAGTTAATTGCTTTATACACTCTTGACCAACATGTGTTTAGGTTAGCAATAAAATACTGATAACGCAGATAATGTCTATTTAAGTTGCAAAGAATTTACCTGATATTTATACTGACAAAGAATTTTAGAAATTACTTGGACTTATCATAAACTTTAATTCACTTATCAGGTCTTGTATATCCTTCACTGTATTTAGTGCAAATTAAACCCTTTGTTGATTTATTTATCTCCAGAAGAGATTTTTGTAATATTAAATATAGTCCTCAACAAGTATGTAGCAAACAGAGCATTATCAAGATCTCTGACACTGTAGAAAAATCTTTCGGCCATATATTCGTGATATGTTTACATAGAGCAGATACTGAAGCTTGCCCTGTTAGCCTCGTTCTGAGAAATCTATGAATATGTATGAGGTAATATTAAGAAGGGTCTATTCCGTTATATTTAGGTAAAAACTTAAGTAAACGTTAGATACCTTGGCTTTGCATTACGCTTGGTATTCCGGTCAGTAAGTTAATCTTATCATCCATTTCTCCTTCAGAATCGCTTGAACTTTCGGATTCCGAATAGCTGTAAGTAAAAGCGATTCTATTTGTTTAGCTTGCATGTTTATTTGTCAAGAAATATACAATTATGAAGAACCGATGCATGTATTGCTACGATAATTTTGAATAAGTACATTACGTACGTATCTTAGAATGTCATCTAAACTTATTATAATATGTAGGTGCGGTAGATATGTAATGTTCAAGTTAAACACCAAAACCATGCGTAAAATTGGGAAAAAAGAGAGAAAAAACATAGCAAAATAAAAGTAAGATATAAGTATAATAAAAGAAATATGCAATTGACGAAACGTCAGACTTACAATCTGTCTTTGTTACTAAATTCATTCTTCACCCTTTCATCCCGCTGAAAAAAAATTACATAAAGAAAGTTAACTAAAACTTTGGGATATGTACCAATATAGTGCAATGCTTTTCTGTTTGGATTTGGAGAAATCGCTTCAACTAAATTAAATGTATGAATTAAGAAATACTAGTTTATTTAAGATTTTATAAAAATTGTAAAGGGAACAAATACGCATTAGGTAATAACAGAGAAACTTGAAAATTTAATACAGATGTTAATAATAATTATAATTAAATTCTAGAATCTAAAAACAAAGAAAAAATATGGTGAATCCAGCTCACTAAGTTAAAACAAAAAAGTAGCTATTATGTCCCTCTCCTTATTTAATGTGATACAACAATTTAGTGCATTTAAATAAGAATTACATAATTATCTGTGTAATTATTTAATTTATTACTCTGGCCATTATTATGATTCCAATGCAGGGGCGTCCGTGACCGAGTAGTTAATGTCTTTGAATTCAAACCAACAAGTCCGCGGTTTCGAATCCCGCCAGAAACATTGTGAGGGATTTCCAAATGTCAGTGGTTCTACACAGATGTCTGCTCGTGCGTGAAACAATGCATAAATGGGCACCTGTGGTCTTCCTCCATGAGTATAGCAGGAAACACGCCATATGACTCAAACAATCAAAAATTGGTCTGCATGTACTGCAAACATATATCATAAACACCAGGGTATACAAATGTACAATGTTTCTCAAATGTAATGCATTTCAGGGGATTTTTCTTTGTTTGAATAAATATTTACCTTCAGAGATAACAATTCTTTTGTGGTCTTTATATCAAAAACTCGACACTGCTTGTCCAATAAATCATTCAGCGATCTCGTTTTCCTAGGGACAATTTGTTTGCTGATTTCTGAGTAAGAATTCAATGATTCTTCACTGCAAGGCTCCATCATATCTCCATTTATATCTGTCATGTTTTCATCCGAGTGAAGTCTTGTACAGCAATCATGCTCTATGTAGTCACATGGAGAAAATTTACTTCGTGTGTAAAGCACGCACAATCTGTCCGACAGGTAGTAACCTAGTTTTATTTTATGATTAATATCTTCTGATGACGAGCTACTATCAATACTGCTTTCCTTTGGTTGTACTCCTGCTCCTCTTTCAACATCTAGTATAGGTTAGTGTTTAATAATACGTATTAACAAAAATAATTGGTCAAGCCTGCCACGTACAGGCAGGCGACCAATTATTTTTGTTAATGCGTATTATTAAACATTAACCTATTTAATGATCAACATTATTTTTTTCAACTAAAAACAAGGCATTTCTCTAAATCATCGATAGCTCCGCCCTTTCGCTCTACAAGATGTCTACACTTTGTCAAGTTTCTAACATGTCACATTTAGATAAGTATGGGTAAGAGTTCGTATTAAGACGACCGTAGGGAGTCTTATCGGACTCTTTTTAGTGCCCGTCTACACCTATCCAAGTCTTGAATGCAAGTATCATATTCTCTTGTATTGGATAGTGTAGACACCCTACTTGAATGAGTTTTAAAGAGAAATTATGTGACATCCAAAAAGATAATTCCTTGCAAGAAAGTTAGAACACGTTCTATTTTTCTACAAGTTTTTGGCTGTCAAGACACTGATAACACCGGTTTGACACAAAACATGTGCCCCGAAAGTGTGATAGTGTTCAGTCCTACGCATAAACCCTCCCAGCTTGCTGAATCTCAGTAAGGGCTTATCAGCTAGTAAATCACTATTAACTGTATATCTCCCATTAACACGTCAACTGAGTTGAGAGTCTTGTCATTATTAATTGGCCCTCTGTATTCTTATCTAATGACCCTAACGTTGAAGGATCAAATTTCTGAACATACTCTAACTTTTATGATGTTTTTTTCTCTGGGTCTGCGCCCAAGTGAAATGTGAAACTTTTAGCAATAATTTGAATTATTTGTAAATATTATACTTAATATCACAAGATAAATTTTAGCTACTAAATGAATTATATGTTTAGGATATACCTTTATAAGTGATAATCATCTTCGTAATTAATAACCTTCCATAGTAAAGTGTCACTGTTCAGTGTTACTCATGTAATTACTGAGTGAACTGCCTACCCACCCCCACCCCCCAAACAAACCACTAAAAACAAAAAGAAAACAAAAACATTGTATTTACTGCAATTTTAGTGCAAGACTCTTAACTAAGTGACCAGGTAAGTGATATTTGTATTATTAGCTCAACTATATCAAATATATGGAGAGCTGTCCTACTCATCATGGCTTGTAAGCCGGAGCCAGCGTACATACTTTAAATTAATGCTTATATGCAGTAAACATTTTATCTCTAACTTTTTTATTAGCTCATCTGAGGATTATGTCCGTGCGTCAAAAATTTCTTTAAACAACTTCTTCTCCTAAACCACGTAGCCAAATTTGTTGAAACTTTGCAGTAGTGTTCCTTGCATAAGGCTCTACCATGTTCAAAGAATAAAATTCCATGCAGAACTTTGGTTGCCATAGCAACCGAAAAAAAAACCTTATAAAATGTTCTTTTAGATGTTTGGCATGAAACATCTTATACTGAGTGTCTATCAAGTTTGTTCAGATCAAATCCCTGGGGTAAAAATTAGCCCCGTCCCGAAGGGTCATTAATATTTTCCTTATAATATTATTATGTACAAATGTATTCCTTATGATCATACACATCATGTGATAAGGTGTTAAACTCAAAAAAACCAGTATTTCCAGAACTATATCCCCTTGAACATATAATTTTCCATAAAAATAATGTTATTTTTTTCTCTTTCTATTTGACTTACACTTCGAATATGTGTTCCTTACCATCAACTACATCATTTGTGACAATGTTGTTTAACTCTAGCACCAATATTTTCAAGAATTATCTCCCCATGAACTCATTTTTTTCCTAAAAAAAAAATGTTACCTTTTACTTACTTCTTTATTTCTTAAAGTATCTACTTCTAACTTAAAAATATATGTTCCTTACACATGTGTGACAAGATTCATAACTCTTAGCATGAATATTTCCAGAATTTATTTTCCCCTTTGAACTTAGATGTTTTTATGCCCTGAAGGGTGGCATATTAAAGTTGAACCATCCGTCTGTCTGTCTGTCAGTCCGTCAGGCTTTATACATATAGACAGTGGGAGGTAGTGTCCGCTCTGAAACTTCAAGTAATGCATGAAAGTATTAAACTTTTCTTTCATATATGAAAAAACCATAAATGTATGGTGAGTCGCGAAACAAGACTCGGGTTCCTACGACTAAGGTCAAGGTCACTGTGGGGTTCAAACTTTGTCATTTTTTATGTTATATAAATTATAGAAGGTTGGTAGTCCTGTCCGCTCTAAAAAACTCAGTATGCATGAAAGAATTTTAATTTCTCTTTCATATATTAAACAAACCATAAATGTATGGTGTGTCAACGAACAAGACTCGGGTTTCTACGACTAAGGTCAAGGTCACTGTGGGGGTTCAAACTTTGTCATTTTTTATGTTATATAAATATAGAAGGTGGTGGTCGTGTCCGCTTCTGAAAACTTCAGTATGCATTTTTCTTTCACATATTCAATAACCATAGATATATCGTGTGCCACGAACAAGACTCAGGTCTCTACAACTAAGGTCAAGGTCACTGTGGGGGTTCAAACTTTGTCAATTTTTGATGTTAATATACATATAGGCAGAGATGGTCGTGTCTGCTCTAAAAACTAATATGAATAAAAGGATTATATTTTTTATTTCACTTATGAAAATTATCAATAAATGTATGATGTGTTTGCGCTTTAGACCCGTGTTCCTACGCCTTAGTTCAAGGTCCAATGCTGGGATTTAAACTTTTTCAATATTTATGTTATATACATATAAATGGTGGTTATTGTGTCCGCCTCTGTAACTTCCATACATGAAAGTTTTCAATTTTTTTAAAAAAAAATATATTAAGTCACCATAGATGGACAATTTGTTGTGAACCTAACCCAGGTTTTTTTGTCTAACTTAAAAAGGTCACTGCTGGGGTTCGAACTATGTCAATTTTTTACCACCACACTTAACATGTTATAGGTGGTTTTATAACTAGAATCTTTTGAGGCATTTGTCACGTTCTGTGACAGCTCTTGTTTATATATTATTTTTTTGTAATACTTGATATTTTTTGCACTTCAAAATATGTTTCTTAACACTTATATTAGGTGCGAATAGATTTATAACTCTAGCTGTAATTTTGGAAATTATCTCCATTTCATTTTTTGAACTTGGAATTTAGTGAAAATTCATATATTTCTAAGTATAATCTTTGTTATTAGAAAATGATATCTACTCTAGACTTAAAATAATTGTTCTTTGTCATTACTTACATCATGCATGACAAGGTTCATAACTCTAGCATCTTTATTTCAAGAGATATTTTCTCTTTGAAACTTATAACTTTACTATAAATTTAAAGGTCAATCAATTTTTACTATTTTCTTGCTTTTTTGCAATTGGTATAGTAAAAGTGATTTAGTATTTTGTATGGAAGTCAAAATACTACTTTGTTTACATTTTGCTACCTTTTTTTACAATTTTTTTTTTTCACATTCAGAGATTTCTTTTTTCTACCAAAAATTGAATGAAAGTAATTTACATTAGTATTTTTTTATTGTGATCACAGGGACTCGGCACAGTGTTGGGGTAGAGTAAAAGCAATTTTAGAAAAAAATACTTATAATTTTTTTTTTCTCTAAAATTTAATTTACCCTGCACTATCCCAACACGGAACTGAGTCCCTGTGATTGTGAGTTGTAAGTGGATTAAAAACCTTTTTTAATGTAATCAAAAATGTTTTGTCTTTAACTCTTAGGAAAAACTGTATGTATCAATGAAAATCTTAATTTTCGTTATATCTAAAATGTTCAGCTTAAACTATACATTCTTGAAACATGATAAGATCATGAAAGATTCAAGGGTGCTGCTATCAGTGATACTGTGACAAGCCATTTAATTATAATTAAATGGTCATCACTGGCCAGAGATAGCAAATTTTGGGGGAAAACTGGAAATCTTGGGCTTATGCGTAGGACTGTGTTGTTTTTTTTTATTATTTTCTGACTTTTTGTTGTGATTCAGTGTACATGTCCTTTGAATTTCAGTTAATGATTACAATGTCTTGGTCAAAGGAACAAATCAATACGCTGATACACAGAAGAGCAAAAATAAATAAATAAATAAAAATAAATACATTGTAAAAAAATAAACAAGAGCTCTTTTTCAAGTTAGAGTCAAAATGAATTTAAAATGATCTTGTTCATTTAGTGAATAAGTTTCATCAAAACAAAATAAATTTTTGTCACATTTTTTCAATTTTAAAAAAGAATGAACGCATTTACTCCATTCTGTTTTTAGCTAATTGCATCATTTTCCCGCTTCTTTTCACATATTTTACAGAAAACATGATAGTCTTGCAAAGACAAAGGTATAAATCCTGGGCTATCTTAATGAGACATTTCAGTAAAAATTGTGCCTGAAAAAATGTTGAAAAGGCCGTTTATTTAGCTTATCTAAATGTGACATGTAAGAAACTTGAATAGGTGTAGACACGGCCTACCCATATAACTGCAAATCGGCTCTTACAACTCAATATCAGATAAAAATATAGAAAGTGTCACCTCTTTAATTAAGCATAACATTATTTTTCCCCAGCAGTCACGTACAAACAAGGATGGGGTCCAATTACTTAATCTGGCATGTAAAACAATGAGTTTTCAACAATACCTAGGATTGTTAATGCAATTCATTCCCGTCATATGAAACAAAATAATATTTTGCTTACTTTTTCTAGAAAATATAAACAGTCAGCAATTAATAATTGACATTTTTCTTAGGGTTAAAAGGATATCAAAAAGTTACTGTGTTCTTATTTGTCTCTGCGAGCTGAGCTTCACGTGCATTATCTATGTAATAAATTTGAATGTATCCTCACATTGCGACAGTGTTATCAGCCTTTTTAGAAACACCTGACCTGGCTAATTAAAATATGCCAATCACAATTTACACTATCAGCACTGGTTTCTTCATGAAAAAGCGGCTATACTAATTACTGCCGAGTAAGAGCCGATTTGCAGTTATATTTAGTTAGTACACATTAACCAAAGTTAGACTTAGCAGAAATTTGTAAAATACTAAAATGTGATTGGACAAAAAATAATGTTGATCATTAATATGATTTCTAGCATTTTTACTAGCAATAGCTTTCGATTTGGATTGAGTATCTTACTATGAGTTGCTGTTCCATTGTTTAGGTAAACAACGGATGATGTTTTCCAATCCTCTGGATCACATGTTGTTCTTATTTGGTCTCCGTTTAGAGTCATGATGGTTTCCCGCCATTTTCCCCACGATTTCGTCGAACTGGAATCAAGTTGACACATTTCAAACCGAAATTTCTGCCCGGTGTACGTTATGATAGTGAGGTATTTTGTGATATCGTCTAAAATAAGAAAACGTATGGTGGAAAGTGGTAGTAATTCGTCAACAGAAAGGCCTTCAGTGTCCGTGTCAATTTCTCCGTGCGCAGTTGGTTTAAAACCCGGTATTTCCTAAAATGAAATGTTTCATTATAAAAAAAACCGCAATAACTGTGTTATTTAGACTGAATGCCAAAATACATGATTAATTATTTAGTCAATAATTAATTATTTAGTCAACAAATGAAAGGATTTAGATTCGGTATAATACTAGTATAACAAATAAAACATGGCCTTGAGGGCAATATGCAAGTTTACGGACTGGTTGGTCAGACTGAGGAAGCGCGTATGCAAATGAGGTATAATATAATAAATTAAATTGACCCTTCTATGTAAAAATACCTGAGAGTTCAAGTACATTTGACAAAACAATGCACAGTATAAATGTTTTGCTATACAAATATATTGAACTATTTTTTTTTATAAAATGATATTGAATAACCCTCTTTTGGATAAAAACTAGCACGAATGCCATGGTATAGTATTTCAAATGGAGTTGCGTTCTTTGAACGCCGCCTTTCCTTGTTGATCTTGTTTATCATGCAATATAACACAAATATGGACACATTTAAATCATGTCTTTAATTGAAGCCGCGTTTTGATTTCTACCACAAATGCTTAAGTTTTTTTCACGTAGATCTAGTGTATTCATGTATAAATGTAGATTTAAGCTGTTTCCTGAAATTTTAACTATAGATTTATCTAAAGTACAGATACACTATTAGTGTACATGTATAGCTTGCACGCGAAATTACTACATAATCACGGGGGTGGAACCCCATATGTATTTCAAAAATGAGCATCGGTAAAAATTATATGTGAATTTTCGCTGCACCAGATGTGAAGCATAACACCAGATTTGACTGTAAAATAGGTCAATTGCAGGGTAAGTTTTCATCTCTTTAAACATTTATTTAAAATTCAATCCTTTTTTTAAGAAAATCGAAATGTGATTTACCCTCCCGGACTCTCCCTCTATATTACCCCATTTTTGTTTTTGGATTTCTATGCGGGGTTTTCATCGAGATATTCTTTCCGGTCGTGGGTTCTTTGGTGGTGTCCCAAAAACATGCAATGTGAAATGAAGAAAATTGTCACTTAACGGGACTCAAAAACAGAGATTTTTACGAAAATCTCACTACGCCGACGCTTTTAACATTCAGACAAGTGCTTGATTTAAAACATTTTTTTTTTTTAATTTGGCTTACAAACGAAGAAAATTCGCTGCTCAAAATGCCCCATTTGAGCTCCATATTGTGCTGAAGAGAATCCATAAGTGATGTAGAAAACCATCGAAAACCCACTTTACATATAATCATTAAATAGCCAATGTATAGAAACAATTTAGGTTTTCCGTAGCTTTTTTGGCTGAAAGTTGGGTTGAAATGTAACATTAGTGTGTTTGATCAACACAATGGCAGGGCTTACCAGCTTATGCTAGCATTAGAAATACTAAAGGCCTGAGTACGTGAAAAAAATTAATGTTGACGCAGAGCGGATAGTACTCGTCAAACTCCTCATAGTGATTACCTCCCTTGGCAGAATTGTAATTACTGCCTTCACAGACGTCACATGATCATGAAAGTCACATGACGTAACGTCGAAATTCAAATGTAAATATCGAGCGTTACACAGAAAATCTAACGTTATTTTTCTCTTTCTGTTCGTACCTACGTCCCTTATATTTTATCAAAAAAAAAAATCAAAAATATACAAAATAATAAAAAATAAATTCAAAAGCTAGAAAAATATAAAATATCAGAAATTCTGATATATAGGACCGTTGTGGCAGATATCTATGTACTGATAAGGGGAGATCACTGCGTAGAAGATTGAGTACTCGTATGATAAACAATTCACTAATAAAGGATATGTAACTTGGACAAACCAAAATGAAAGTATTGAACTTTGTAAAGGTATCATGTCATATAATATGCATCTATAATAATATTTACAATCATAAAAAATATCTATCACTTTAATATTCCACAAGTTATAGTTATATAGCGACAGACTTTTATGTGGAAATATCATGGCCTGGTGCGAAAATCGAAGGTTTTTCTTTACAGAATATGGGCCGAGATCATTGTCTGTAAAGAAAACCCGAGATGCCGCCCCAGGTCATGATATTTCTACATAATAGTCGAGTTCGATATATTTTAACTGTTTTATCGCATTTCAGTTTATTATTGGCTTCTCTTCATAAATTTAATTCCCCACTCGGAACCTCGATTGCTTTTTATGTAACGTGTCAATGACCGATATTGTAAACCCCACACCATGTGAGCTAATCAGAAGTATGTTGGGTGTTCCTGATTGGTTGGATGACCAAAGACACAGAAAATCATTGCTGTAAATAATTGGGACGCGCCAGTATTACGCTAACCGCCGTTTCATCAGCATTTTTAAGGGCATGCCAAAAGATGGGTTATTAAATTCATATCAGTTAGAGAGCAGGCATAAAATAAGTCAAATAGACATTGACCCATAATTGCGACTATGGGCATGAAGTGAACCATGCAAATATTATGCAAGGACGTTCCTTGATGTGGAAAATAAATATGCAAAGTTTCTTTGATCTTTTTCAAAAAGTTCATCACTAACTTTCTTCCAGCGTCATAACAAATTCAAGTATCTCTTCACATTACTCGCCTTTTAAGCAGACAGTGCTGTCAAATGAATAATTAAATAATGCATGACGGCATAACAAGGGAATGATTGCAGTACACATGACGTCAATAAATAAAAAATAAGCAAGGCCTTCCCACCATATCTACGTATTTTCGAAACCTTTCGTATGCAGAATGTCTTATCTCTTTCTATATGTATACTATGTTACTCAAGCTCGTCTCGTGAAAATGTGTCTATTTCGGATATTAATGTTTCTATTACAGAATGAAACACAATAGAATGAATTATAAATTGCTTTATAAAAGTGATGCGTAATTATGTTGCTAATGTTTATATTATGCACATATGGATCTCTCCAGCACATATGGAGCTCAAATGCAATTTTGAGCAGAGATTCCCTTCGTTTGTAGCCAAATCTCAATAAATATTTAAATCAGGATTTGTCTGAATGTTAAGCATCGGTCTGTAGTAAGATTTCGTAAATTCCCTGTTTTTTGAGTCCATTTAGTTACATTTTCTTCATACACATTGCATGTTTTGGACACACCAGAACCTACGACGGAAAGAATATCTCTATAAAGACTGCATAGAAATCCAAAACAAAAATGGGTAATATAGAGAAGAGTCAGGAGGGTAGAATCACATTTCGATTTTTCTTAAAAAAGTATTGAATTTTATATAAATGTTTAAAAAGATGAAAACTTACTTTGCGATTGACCTATTTTTACAGTCACCTCTGGTGTTATGCTTCACATCTGTTGCAACGGAAATTCACATATAATTTTTACCGATGCTCATTTTTGAGATACATATGGGGTTCCACCCCCGTGATAATTAAGATAAAATAAAACCAATACATGCGCCTATATTATTCTAAAACTTCAGTCTACTAACATAACACATCTATTGAAATTCAAAAGAAAAAAAAAGAAAAATGTAAAAAAAAAATGAAATTACCTGCTCCACAATTAACACTTCTTTCTGCGTCATAGCAAGGAAAACCTGTCTGAGAGGCGAACCATCTTCATTTAATTGTAGAAACAGTCCTTCTACGTCCACCTTCTTTAAAACATCTTCGTATTGCGAGCAGTTTAGCAACTTCTGCACCCTATGACTCGGAAAGGCCTGTTTAAAGGGTTTTTAAAACCAGATGGGATACATTTTTCTCGCCAGTCCCTCTCTGTCAAAAGGGAAAAAACGGCGGCTTTTTTCGGATTTTAAAACAAAACGTTACCGGAAAATTCCTTTAAAAAAAGAAATCCATTTTTCCCTGCGATTTAAAAAAATCAAAAAGCAAAAAAGTGCTGGGGTTTTTAAAACTTAGGGTGAACATTTTTTCCCCAGAGGTTTTCTTTTCAGGGTTTTCAGGGAACGATGTTTCCCCAAAAACGTCTTTTTTTTGGTTTTCCCACGTCATTGACGTTTAAAACAAATTTTTTGGGGGGAACCCCAAAAATTTAAAATATTTAAATGGGTTTTTTTAGACTTGATTTTTAAAAATTAAAAAAAATTGGTTTCTAGATAAATTGTTATTTAAAAACACAATATTCCCCGTAATATAATTAAAAAATAATAAAAATAATTTAAAATAATAATAAAAATAATTTATAATAATAATAATAACAATTGGGTTTAAAGCCGTGAAATACCCAAATTTATCACAAAACCGGGTGCCGCTTTTGCACGACCGTGCATATATTTAGACGTGACGTCACTTGCCTTATATATAAACATAATGTATTTTTATAATGAGGTAATTGGTATATATTTATTGCATTGTATACATTTGAAACAGAAAAAAATGAATCAATTTACTGTAGGGCCTTGTAAATGTCTATTTAATATTGTTAATATTCTAAAAACTTTTTTTCTATCACAGAGCCAGTGTGATATTTTAGATTTCCGTAAACATGGTTTGACCAAAGCGTCTAACGTAGAAAACTTATTAAAATGTTTGCAATGTTTTTGTTTATCTATTTAACAGATAGCTCTAAAAATAATTTGCTGTAACCGTTGATGAAACAACACAGTTTTTTATTATACATACCTTTAAAAAAATTATCTCCCCTGTGTAGGATTTTCACCAATTTGCAAATGAAAAGCGCGGGCCATTGCACGAGATTCATCGATATGTGAATAGCTTTATTATCAGTTTGTGTAAAAGAAGGGTAAAAGAAGAAGGAATATAAAGAGGAAAAAGGAGTAGTTCCATCTTGATGAATTAATTATCTGTTTACGGTAAGTTCAATGGCTTTAAAAACTATTATTGTCAATTTTTATTTAAAAAATGAATGTCTCGGGTTTCATCATGTTTTCCATCTATTTGGTTAACAGGACCCCGCATTGGAAATAAGCACACCAGCTGAATGGGCTATCCTTGTAACCATAGATCACTTTTACCAAAATCATTGTATTGAAATTTATTATTATTATTTATTTTTAGTGTATTTTATACCTGAAATAAACGTTCGCTGGTTCTTTTTATCATATATTGCCCTAGAAACCCTCATTCCCCTGGTGAAAAGGAACCACATGATCATTTTAATTCCCCACAGATTAATAGCAATTTTGGTGGGAGAATTTCAGGTTTTCTCATTATTAATGAGAAACTGTGCATGTGTGACATTGCAGTCCAAACTGTTTCTTACGTACATGACAACTGGTGCTAGGTGTTTTATTACTTTAAAAATTTAAGCAGTGAGTATCCTGAAAGGAAATAATTTAATGGAGGATTCTAGTGTACTATTTTATTGGAAACTTTTGAGTGTTGGAGTTTGTTTACTAGCTATGTGTGTAATATATACAGGGACTACTTTGCGACTGAAAATTTAGGGAGAAGTGACTTCTCCCTTCCAGAAAAAACAGGGAGAAGTTTTGAAATTTAGAGAGAAGTGATCATCAAATCGAGTTATATCATTGGGTTTTTTTCTAATTTTATTTCAAAATATACATGTACACCTTTATATTTTTACATGCATATAAAAATATACATGTATATGGCATGGAAAATAAACAAATTTTTGTGTATTTTGAAAATCGCTTATGATGATATTTAATGAAGTACTAGTTGCTCAATAAAGTTTATTTAAGCATTTGATTCACATCAACACACAACATTACATCAACACAACATTTTAACTTTTTTTTTAGGTTCAACAGTTTCTGACTCTAACTTTTTAAATGCAATTGATTTAAGAAGAAAAGTTCTTTAATTCATAATTAATTATGCAAATTCTATCAATATACATCAAGTTTTAATGATGAAATTTATTGTTATAGCCAATAATACACAGTTTTGTTATTAATTAACTATTCATAAATGTGTAATGTTGATAACAAGAATGGACCGGCCAAACATATATGGGATATTGTAAATCCAAACAACATATAGGGGAACTTGTAAATCAAACAAAACGTATGGGGAATATTTGCAAATCAAACAAGACATATAGGGGAAATTGGTTAAATCAAAACAAAACGTTTAGTGAATATTGTAAATCAAAACAAAACGTATAGGGGATAATTGTTTGAATAAGACACAAATATATACTGTTTGAGGTAACTTAATTATCTTTTATCACCTGCCTGCATTCATATCAGGGTTTTTCTCAGCTTTAATTTACCCGAAAATTTAATGTAGAATCTACATTATATAATCAATGGGTTATTTTTAGCGAGTGGGTGAATTCCAAGTGTCGCTACAGTATGGCCAAGCTTCAGCGCGTGTGCTAATTACGTCAAGATTACACAATTAAATCTGCCTGCAGGCAGTATTATCGAGTGGAGAAATATAAACATGACATTTCCATAGAGATTTTAGTGGCAACTAGAATTGCGCTTTTCCGTCTCATATAGGGCGAAAGTGAAAATATTACGGGGGCGGGGAAGTTTTTGGCCTTGAACTTCGGCCCAGAAACGGCCATTTTTTGTCCCTGATATAATTTGTTTTTTATCCCAATTCTTAGAAAAAAAAAAATTCTATTTTTTTCTCTTTTTTTGAAATGTGGAATAACCTAAACTTCATCATAATAAGATCATCTTTCTAAATGGCATCCCATGTCCCACATATATATATAAACCTTAAAGGGACACAACTGAAGTTTTTTTTTGACATAACAGGAATGAGAATAATTTTGTTTTCAGATTAATGTTCCATTTAATTGTAGGGTCTAGACACCAATAACTTGTGTGCAAAATTTTAGATTATTTGAACACTTGTTTATTCTAGAAATTGAATAATTATATTCTAATTGTGAATAAGGCCCCACGGTTACACGATTTTGTTTCGATTTTCATTCGTAAACGTTTACGATATTGTTTACAGTTTAATTGAAATGACCATATTATCTTGATCATTGCCTGTCATCATGGATTTTATCAATTCTATTTGGTTTATTCCAAAGTCAGAAAACAGAAAATGGGTGTTTACAACCTTCCACACACCGCATTGCTTTGCAATAATCGCTCGTGACATTATACATTGTTTGTAAATTTGATTTTTCTATGATCTTTCGAAAGAGAGAAATGGGATTCAATGCCAGAAAATGTGGGTGCCGGACACAATCGTGAGGACCCTTGAACATTATTTATTTGTTTTGTTTTGGGTACATGTGTTAAAAAATAGAAAGTAGACTCAAATACATGATGTAGTATAGTACATAGAAGTTACCACCGTTTAAACGGTATCGTTTCGGTTCTTACCAATCGTGTAAACGTTTACAAAAAATTGTAAACGTGGGAGCCTTAATTGTGAAAGATGACTCAAAACTGAGATTAGCATTGCAAATCTTTCCACTCCCATCTGGCATATAAATTATGATTTTCAATTTATTTATTTAGTAATTTCATAACTCTTTTTTGCATATCTTTCTGTTATATGTGCCCCATCTGATCTATGTATGAAGTTCTGATTGTATGGATCTCAGTGGAGATCCTTTAAACTTGAATACTTAGAAGGTGGCTAACATTTGCCAGCAGTATAGAGCCAGACCCGTTAGCACATCTGTGCAGTTTGACCATGATTATTCAGGGTTCTCGTTTGGTAAAATTTGGGGCCGAATATGGGCCCGCCATTCCCGCATTAAAATAATGTGTTCACCCCCCCCCCCCCCCCCAACCCCCCAAACGAAAAGATTCCCCATCGAAAAAAAAAAATTTTACAGCCATAGATCAATGATCATGTTTTTAAGTTGATTTTTTACACAAAGTGTCAAAGATGTATTCAATTTCATTGAAAATAACCAAATAATTCATGACAGCAGCTATTGTTGATAGATTTTTTAACTGAATCTTGTTTTCGCTTGTTTTTAATGAATTAATTTTTTCTATTGAAATTCTTCATTGAATGAAAAATATTTGAAAATCATGCGAAATTCCCCCCCTGCATGGGGACCCTGGCCCCAGTCTCAAAATGCTTACGAGAGCTCTGTAATTGTAATTTGTAAATCTTATATCTTATTTCATATTGTAATCTCTCAAACTTTAATTAAGTTAAAAAAGACTGTAGGACAATTTTTCTGAATTATACAAATCTAGCAATGTAAGGGTTAACATAAAATTTTGACAAGATTGCCCCACATTTACTAGTAGCATCCCAGCAGGCACATCAACGTTGTTTCAACGTTGAATTATGGTCAGATTTCAACGTTGAAATAAGGTTGGATTTATATTCGGATTTGAAAGTTGAAATAATGTTGAAATTTCAACGTTGATACAACGTTGCAGCTTCAACGTTGGCACTGAACGTTGAAGTTTCAATGTCATTTCAACGTTGAAAACCCACCATACTTTAACTTTTGGATATAAAGCAAAGTAACCAAGTTTAACAAAATATCAATACAATATTGAATACTTCAGATATTTTATTTCAAAAATACAGTTCAAGTGCAGCTTAAATTCACTTTAGTAGTTTTAACAATTAAGCTACAATCTGTTCCAATCTTTTCTTCTAGATCTTTCTGGGTATGTCAAGTGTTTGAGTACTTCTTTGGCTGTCTCTTACTGCTTCTGCAAATAAAAATAAGAAGTTTGTAGTTAAAAGTGACTTGGTCAATCTCAAATTATACATATAATTACTCAACTTAGTGATTTGTTTTTATCTTAAAATGCTTGTCTCTAAGATTTTACATCATAAAACAGCACAGAAATTGAAACATAGCTAAGTTTGATATTGACAGCAAAATACTGTATATAAGACAACAAAATCTTTTTAAAAAGAAGCTATTTAAAAGTCTCACCTATGATTGGTAAGAAAAACTGCTCCCCGTCAGTTCCTTGCAGCATATTCCAAGAAATTAACATTCTAGGCTCTTAGCTTAGACCATTTTATGCAGCATCCTGAAATCAACAAATATGTAAATTTTATATTAAATAATGTTACAGGAATATTCGAAAAAAGTATATTTAAGACAAGATAAATATCCAGTAGTTGAAAATTTATACTTTTTTATTGGAAAGAAAGTCAAATATATAAATTAATATTATATAATAATAAGAAATAAATTTTCAATTTAACAAACCTGACAGTCCTTTTCATGTTGAATGTATGGTATACAGGCTACCGCTGCAATACTCTAAGCCAGGACCAGGATCTAGAATATAAAATAATATATAATAAAATAGAAATAGATTTATTATTCCCCATAAATTTACGACTATTAAACTTTAACACTCAAATTTGTTATTTAACTTAATAATAATGTACTTTTTTTCAAACTAATTAACACTGTATTATACTATCACTAAAATAAAAACATAGTTATATTTATTGACGAATCGTCTTGGGACGTAAATTAAGTGGGCCGAACTACTTTATAGGTTTCAATTTTAAAATTGATTAAATTCTAAATAGGATATAGTACAGACAAATGTTTAATAATATGAAAAATAAATTAAAGAAAGACAAGATTTGTAAAATCATAAAATGCCAAGGACATCAATAACTTTTATGCTTACAAGGCCTACCGAACCTAATTAGGTCGCGAAAACGTGTCAAATTTACTCAATCATGTGTTTTCATCTCTCATTTATTTCATAAAGCAAATTAAAGTAGAATTTAAAGAATAAATAATAATAATTTAGAAAATAATCAGTTAACTAAAGTAAAACATAACGGTAATACCTTCGAAATCCATGTAAATTGCCAATCGTGTTGTTTTCAAATTTTCCAAACAGCGCCACCATTTCCACGAACGATAATCATAGGCAAACAAACAAAATCATAGACCGCAAAAATTACTTCCCCTGACCAGCGTTATTTTATAAACGGGGTTTTGACTAATATCAATTTATTAATTAATATTATTCATAAAGAACTAAAAAATAAAACAACAATCAACAAAACAATATTAACTTATATTTAAAGCGTTAATAGAAAGTGGAAAATTATTTCCAACTTTATTTGTTTAAGCGCTAATTTTGAATATACGGAAAAAGATTGTAACGCAAATTTTCCTGACAAAAATCACTTACAGACTAATTCAATAAAGGAATAATATCACAAAATTAGTGGTATATAGAGGATATTCAAGTTTTTTCAATAAATACATGATTTATTTTCATCGAGTGGTATGAAAATAAATATTTCATGAGTGGCGGTAGCCACGAGTGAAATATGGTAATTTTCATGCCACAAGATGAAAATAAATCATGTATTTATTGAAAGAAAACTTGGATTTTCTGTTTATAATATATATATCTTGCTCTTTTTTAAATTGAAATTTGAAAGACTTTCCCTTTAATTTTGTGTATTTGCAGAATTCAAAAGAAAGTAGTCCGGCAAGACAACAGTGAAAATACGAAATATATGTTTCATTGCAGTGAAAAATGAATACTTACACTAAAAATACGGAAAACGAAAATACGCATTTTATATCATCAACAATTATTAATATTTCATTTATAAGTATATAATAAAAAAGTTTATATAATGATTAGACTAAATGTAAAACTTCGACCATAAACAACGTTGAATCAACGTTGTATATACATTGGCATTATATCCGTATGGTCGTCCATAGTTGAATATTGGTTGAACAACGTCACGACCATATTTCAACGTTGAAACAACGTCGAGTGCCTGCTGGGATAGGCCTGCTACTGTTTGGTTTGATTTTTCGGAGCACCGACACAATTTAGGTGATATGGCGCCAAAACAGAAAAGGTGATTTTGGCTAACCTCAGATGTTACAAACTTTTAAATAACACCAGTGGTCAAAACCTGGGACCTCGCCTGCTGGAGCTAATTAAGAGATGCATGGACTCAAGTAATTTGAACCCATTTAATTGCCTCTTACTATATCACGCTAGGATAAACTGTGGCTGCAATTCTGATGCCTCAACTCTTAAAGGAAACCGGTTTAACCCCTCAGCCACAAGGAGGATCTGCTTAGACTAACTGAATAACCACGAAGGTTAAAAAATTGGAGGAAAAAAATGAACAGAATCAGATATAAATACAAACTTGAAACAATAATTTCCACCTGCCAAGCTAACCTTTTGAAAATAGAAGAAACAAATTTTCATCCAGAAAAAAAATGATAAGATCTCACATAGGGCTGATCTGTGGTATTAAATCTATGTTTCCAATATTTTTTATCTGATATTTGACAGGCTTGAATCAGATAAGGCAATATTTACTCTAGGTCTTTTTCTCAAAATAATGTTTCCAGGTTTTTTATATACAACAGGTACTGTAAAATATGAAAATTATGTAACAGTTTTGTGAAGAAAGAATTTGAAAATATTTATTATAAGTGGGTATGATAAACACCAAACACTGGATACGTTTGGAGAATAAAAAAAAGAGTAAAAATAATTAAAGAATGGCCTAGTTTTGGAATTGTGAAGACTTAATACTTTTGAGTTTTAAAATAATTTTTGAAAATTTTGATTATTTCTTTGCTAATAGATATGTATTTTTTTTTTTGTTTTTTTTTTTAAAAATTAATTTTTAAGCTTGACTTTTATTTGGATTTTTTTCCTTTAAAACTTTAATTTACAGTTAATTTTTTTCTTACATGACAAAATACTATTACACTGACATAACTAAATTTTTTGGATAAATGAAATATTGATAAAAATATGCACATACTTTTCCTAAGGTTATTTATACAAATTTATAGGAATTTGTTCGGGGAGAGTTTTCGATAAAGCTTTTCAAGCTTCCTACTCAATCCGAAAATGTTATTTCATGTACCTTATTATGTAAATGTATAGATTATGTAAATAAATATTGTTTAACTAAATATGAATTTGATTAAAAATTATTTTAATGAAAAAATGTTGTAGTGAGTAAAATTGTATTATATCAATGTTCCAATTTTATCTGGTATTGTGGATTTTAAGGTTTTGCTAAGTAGTTAACCTTAAATTCTCCACATTTTAAGAATGTATTTTCAAAGGAAAACTATTTTGACAGCTTGAAAATGATTGTCCATGCTAAGTTGTCAGTTCAAATTTAATTTGATAGCCAAACAGCCATGACAACTTAGATTTACCATTCTTTTAAAACGTAATTATAAAAAGAAACACCCCATGAAATATACCAAGTTTACGGTATTTTCTATCGTAATTTTCTCACCCCTGTGGAGCATATACTGCAATATTAAGCTTATTTTTGTGTTATCTTTTTTTTTTCATTAAATAACTTTTGGTATATCATAGGGGAAACAGTTGAACCTTCTGCCCTAGGGCACAATTTCGGCCAATTTCGGGAGGTAGGCAATTTATTTAATTACAGTGGGAAGAAATTCAAGACAGGAAAATTACTAGAATGGGGCATTAAATTGCTCCATGTCTGTTTAGATCTCTTTTTATTGTTTCTGTGCTGTACTTACTCTATCCCAGGTGGTACAGGTTTTGCTCTGTTTGATTCTAAAATATGATAGATGTTTTTTTTTATATTCATCCTGATACTAGGAAAAAAATGATAGCCATAGATTTGCAATAGATTTTGATTTACTGGTGACTTAACACTGGAGTGAATTAAAAATAGTAAGATAATGATTAGGAGTGACTGTTTGGATTATATAAAAAGTTTTCAGATATATATTTATGGATATTATTATAGTTTGATATTAAAAGAGGATATACATTTATCAGAAGTCTCAACACTGTTGTAAGGTAGTATATATACATTGTGTTTTCATATATAAAGTTACCTAGGTGATATATTATTATTTATAAAGATTTTTGACAGTTTATACATTTGTATATTGGCTCTATATAATTGGTTGTTTGGAAATTTAACCTGAGCTACTAGATGAGGGTTATATTGCAAACAACTGATTATAATATATGGTTATATATGGTTATATAACCTGTCAGGAATATTTATAATAAATTTATAATACAGCAAACTTTCTTTTTTTGAAAAAACATGAGATTCTTCATAGATTGACAGCACCATGACTTATAATATAAAACAATATAAACTTCATGACTATCCAATGAGAATCAACGTTACAAAATTTGGAAATACTTTTTTTAAAGCGCAATATCATATGCTCAGTATTCATGATTTCTACATCAGTCAAGTGTGGCCGTGCATTATTTTCTTATTAATGATGTGGTTTGGACGTCCGTAGCCTAGTGGTTAACGTTGCTGACTTCAAACCACTTGCCCCTCACCTCTGTGTGTTCAAATCCCTCGACGGCCTTAATTTTTTCATGTCAGGAAGTTATCTAGATAGCTTACTGGACATCAGTTGTTACACTCAGGTGGCACCTTTGAGCCTTAAGGAATGCGCTGAGGGGCACTAGAGGTCTCCCATAAGACTTCTACTATTTTGGTGCCACTTAAAACTCAACCAAAAGGATTCAAAATGAATGATGTAAGCCGATCAATTAAGGTTTAAAATGATCTTTTCGTTAATTTGATTGATTGATTGATTGATTGAATTTGCTTGCATTCAGTAATTTACAGATTTGAAAAATTGATTTGTACATATATAGTTACTAAGAAAAAAAATTCTTATATTAATATATTATGTGATATAATAAAATGAATTTATTTGGATATAGATGTCACATGCCTCCGCCAGGTACTTTGAATTCTATCATGTTAGGAAGTTACGCAACTTGTTGACTTGGTATTACTTAGGTTGGTGGTTCTTCTTGGGTTCTCACTTGTCCGAGAAATAAATGCTCCTGTGGTATTTTTTCTTTATGTAGAATTTGTTTCAGTTCCATTGTGTAGACAGCTATTTACTTAAAGACACAGTCTGTCCCATGAACTAACCATTCCAAAGCATAATGATAGTATTTTTTCTTGCTCAATAAAACAACAGCTTCTCAGGGTTTGAACCTGAGTAGCCAGCAATCCTTAAATTACTAGTCTGACAACTTAGCTACTCTGTGATACCTATGGTCTTTTCCACCATAAAAAGCTGAAAAGTGGCCTTTGATATTAAAACTGCATCATCACAGCTTCCAGATGAACCAAAATATTTCAAGATAATCAATTTTGAGAAAAAAGTGTTGAGATTTTAAGAAAAGTGAAAAGATTCAAGGTAAAAGTGATAATTTCCATGTTACAATATGAATTGTGCGCTTTTATAATGACTGATTTTTCAGTATTTTTCACCATATTCTACTGTGTTACTTACGCAGTAAGGCTATTTTTGCATACTTTTACCTCATTTTGGTAAGTTACATGGGTAATTGTAAGTGTTGTTTGCAATGTGAAAATTATTTTCTTTGTTCACTTCACAATACAGTATATTCTCTCTATTAAGACCACTTACGGGACTGGCTCAAAGTGGTCTTAATAGTGAGTTGGTCTTAATAGTGAATAAGTCAATTTAATAGCTACCGAAGTCCAACTTAACTTAATGAATACCTTGTATATTTTTATGCACATGCATACATGCCATAACGTCCCGGATGCCCGGGACAGTCCCGGAAATAAGGTGTCTGTCCCGGAGGTGTCCCGGAGATAATTTATGTCCCGGTAAAAAAAAATTCTAAAATAATCTACTTTGAAGCAAGAAATTTTACATTTTTATATAATTTTATTGTCAAGTTTTTATAAACTAGTCTAGAACGCTAATAACGAACGATTATCACCTAACAGCATTGCAATTGGGACACTAATCCTTTGATTGGTATATCTACGTGCCCCTTCCAACAAACAATTATCGGCAATAATTTTGAATAATTAAAAGATTAATTGTTTACCCCATGTGGCTTCCTGAGCGAAGGTGTCATACATTGTAATTAACAACTGGCTAGTATAAATTTAATCCGCCTGGAGGCAGTTATTAGTGGTCAAACACCGTGAAAATTACCGCTAAATTTGAGGTGATAAAATCTACAAGATTCAGTGAATGTTTCAGGTAAACGACATGGCTAATTGTCATTACTTAACATAGCTTTTTCCTATTTTTGTGACCGATTGAATTAACGATGCCTAAATACTTAAAAAAGATAGAAAAACTATTAATAATTATTGACATTCTGTCTTTTGTTTATGGTGTCATTAAATTTGCAAGTTGTACAGGTAATATAGGTTGAATGCCACTATGTAAATTAAAAAAAATATGTTTGCTGATCAATGCCCCACCTCCAAATGAAAAGTGTCCCGGAAATGAGTGTAAAAATTATGGCATGTATGCACATGGTAAATGTACTTAATTAAATGAGTAAAAAGAAACACATATTTTTTAAACAAAAAAAACATTTTTAATGCATGATAATATGATACATCATTAATATAATAAAAATATTAATTTACGGCTAGTGTGTTAAGTCTCCCCTTTAGAAGAAAAATATGAGGTATTAAATATAGTTACAACTCTCATTATGATTTATACATTAATTACATATCGAAATAAAGCACACATGAACTGATAATTTGGTGTAATTATCAATTTTTACCATACTTGCTATAAATTGTGATGCAAATAAACAACTTTAAATGCTATTTACTTGTTTATTACATCCTAATTACGCTGGCAAATTAATCGTTTCTCACACCATAGCTGCTTAGATTAATTAGCCAGAAGTGGTTTAAACTGATCATGTTGACGCTTGAATGCTAAAGATACATGTAAAGCAAGCGTCTAATCAATCAATATATATTAATGACCTCATTTGACCCGGTGTATTAAACTCCTCACAGCGGTTACGTCACGCTTTGCTACTTTAACTGTACAGATCAGGGGAAGTAACCGCTGCGAGGAGTTTGCCGGTGTATTTGTTTACGCCAGCGGGAAGATTACGACAATTAATTGGGGGCAATAAACACCAAGTGATGCCTGGCCATTATGTTGCATGGTCGTAATACAGGTTAATGTTTTGATAAGAAATACACACAAATGTCTGACAGAAGTGGTCGTTATGCCGGATTAGAGACGTGGTCGGTATACTGGTCATTTTTCTCAATGAATAAAGAAGGCAAATATTTTGTACTTTTAAAAAGTGCCCGTAATAACGGCGTGGTCCTATTTGTGGCGTGGTCGTTAGGTGGCATTTTACTGTATTTTACTTTTTAGATACATTTTCCAACTTTTCATAAAAATTAGCATCGTACATGAATCTGGAGGCGTGCTGCTTTAACCAATATGTTGATAGGACTGAAAACTCAAATTTATAATTATATGTAATATTTTTTCCTTCTAGCATTTCAAGTGACATTTAATTAGGACTGATTGATTTCTAATTGATTGATATTAAGCCATCTTGTTATTATTATTAAAGAGCTTGATTGATTAGATGCCAAAACTTATTTTAAAACAAACAACAAGAAAAGGTCAATTGGTGCGTTATGATTAACCCATGTCGCCAGCTTCTGTGTATGATGATAAAAATAATAAAAATACCAACTTCACTATATGAGTATAGCCGGTCCATATCCCAGTATCTAAACTGACCTGCACACTTATATCTAAATAGATATTTCACAAGTTTATTAAATACATATTTACCTGTCATAATGTATGTAGATAGATATATATTTGATTGTGTTAGTTAAGATAATCAGAAGAGTGCAACATTCATTCATAATTATAGAAAAATATTTGGTATTTTAGTAGTGTCAGATTTTTGAAACGAAGGATTTTTATTACGACTGGTAAAAATTTTATTTTCTACGATGCTTGTTTTATATGTGTTCTTATTTCAATGCAGATGGTCAAAAATTATTGCTGTATTGTTGTTTCTATAAATAGAAATAAAGAAAAAATGTGTTTGACCCTCATCCCACTGAATTTCTATAATGGACTTACCAAGCTTTGGAGGGGCGTCCGTGGGTGAGTGGTTTAGGTCATTGACTTCAAACCACTTGCCCCTCACGGCTGTGGGTTCAAATCCCAACAGGGACTTTGGATTTTTTCATGTGAGGAAGCCTGTTTGTGCTTGAAATAATTTAGGAAGGGCACCTGAGGTCTTCCTCCACCAGTAAAGCTGGAACCACGCTAAATGACCTATACTGTGTCAGTGTGTCGTAAAACCACATAAATAAACAAACAAACAAACAAACCAAGCTTAGGATTTGGAATGTTCCATTCATAGTTTAAGGGGTGTTTTGTATGATAATATTGAAATTGAGCAGCCACCGAATAGAGCTAAGTCAGACTTCATACATAATGATGGATTGGTGCGAAACAGACGTAACTCCTTCATTATGTAATACCAGTTACAGTTGTTTTGCACAGGCGTACGTCACACTTGCCATGCCAATCATGGTCAAATTATCATAAAATAATCACCCCTTGATCATCAACCAGCACCCGTTTACTATATAAAATATATATTTTATATAGTAAACTTGTGCTGGATAGTAATTTTGTTCTTCAAAGTCGTCCACAGTGTTGCATCTAGGCCACGCGATTGTGCGATTTGCGCATTTTTAATGCAGATCGCACATTTCAATGATGTCAATGCGCCAAGTCGCGCATCTGACAATCTTTTTAACTTAATACAGTTTATCTTCATCGTATCTTGAACGCTTCAACCATGTTTGTTTTCACTCATGGTAATGACTAAAATACGTACTAAATCGCGTGTATCAGCAGACTGGGTCATCTTTCGTGTGTATTGTAGTATTCGTTAATATTTTTTTTCTATTTCCATTGTTTAGCGGACAATAGCTGTCAAAAATGCCTCAATGTAAAATAAATGAATTCTTTTCGGTAAGTCATATTGTAAGGTAAATGTATGTCCCCCACATTTTTTCAAATCCCCCACATTTTTCAGTTGAGTGGGGGACAATCCCCCATAATTTTGAAATTCTAGATGCAACACTGCGTCCATGACATTTCATCATTAAGGTATTGACGCCTCAGATACTGTTTAATTTATCTGTCTTGGGTATTGTAGACATGTTGTGTGTTGTTTATTTGTTAACCTAGGACAGTTCCATTAAATTAAGTCCGGTATTCACAATTTCCCTATAAAGATAGATATTTCAAAGCTAGTTTTATTACTGATAAGGGGGGATTAATTATTCATTCTTAGTATGTGACTGGTTTTTGTCAACGTCTGTCTTGTTACTAAATGTAGCTTTGTTAATTAAATAAGTGGATGTTAAACTACCAATAATGTGTTAATAATTCGTACCAGATACAAGTTTACCAAAACATTCTCAATCATTGTGAATTAAGTTTATGAGCAATAATTGACATATGCTAGATAGTAACATTTGTGTTGTGTGAAAGCTAAAAAGAGATAAGCTATAACTTAAGGAACTCTTTGGAGCCATAACTCATGCCATTACTGAGCTTTACTCTTTACTCTGAACTGTGGAGCCAAAAACTCATGAACTCAGTGGAGACATTGCTTTGAACTGTGGAGTCATCACTTTGAACTATACAGCATTAACTTTGAAAAATATTGCCATTTCTCGAAAAATTGTGCCTTTAACTCCAACAAAATTGCCATTTCTCTTAAGATATTGCCATTACTCTTAAACTTTGCATAATTTCTCTAAAAATATTGCCATTACATGTACTTTGAAATATTGCCATAACTCTTAAAATATTGCCATTACTCTAAAAATATTGTCTTTAGTCTTAAAATATTAACATTGTTTTGTTCTAAAAATATTGCCATTTAATACTTAAAATGTTGCCATTACTCTAAAAAATATTGCAGTTATTTTAAAGTATTGCCATTACCCTTATTTTTATCCTTGCATCAGTTTTGGGGAGAACAAAATAGAAATTTATCACCTGTAATTTTTATCTGATTATAAGCTATGCATGAGAAATTCATGTATTTTTTTTCTTCTCGGAATTGGCTTGTTATGTACAGATTTGCCAAATGATAAGATATCTCACATGAAAAGGTTGTGGGTTTTTTGCCGTTTAAAATATTAGAAATGTGTCCTGTGTGATAAGGTATGCATAGATAAAACAAGAAGTTATCTATGTCTATATATCATAATATATATTGTTTATTGTAGCTTTTAATATTTGTAAAGAGTTTTAGATCATTTAATATCGAAAATCTGTGTAATATAGTTTTTAGGATCATTGAATATCCGTCATCAGTCCACATTTGTTCGTTAACACTCTAGCGGTCACATTTTTGCCTCAATCATCATCAAACTTTGTCAGGATGCTTATCTAGGTAATTGCTGGAATGAGTTCGAACATGGGTTATATCTCAGATGAAAAACTAGGTCACAGGAGCTAAAAATAGAAAAATCTTATAACTCTCTAGTGGCTACTGGTTTGATCCAAATATCCTGGAAATTGGTCTGAAATTTTTTTGATGATTTCTAGGTAAAGTATGAAAATGGGTAACCTGGGGTCAAAAAATAGGTCACACTGCCCAAATATGGACACTCTAGTGGTCACATTTTTTGACTCAATTGTCATCAAACTTGATCTAGGTAATGATGAAAAACTAGGTCACAGGCGCTAAAAAAAAGAAAATCTTGTTAACACTCTAGTGGCTACTGTTTTGATTCAAATATCCTGGAAATTGGCCTGAAAGTGTGTTTTGATGATTTTCAGGTCAAGTTGAATATGGGTCACCTGGGGTGAAAAAGTAGGTCACACTGCTCACTGGAAAATCCTTGTTAACACTTTAGTTGTCACATTTTTGACTCAGCTGTCATGAAACGTGGTCAGGATGCTTGTCTAGGTAATTGTTCGGATGAGTTTGATGTGTCAGGTGAGCGATCTTGGGCCATCATGGCCTTCTTGTTATTTAGATGAGGCCCAATTTTTGTATCTTAAATTATTTAATAAGGCCCTTTCCAATGTGTTATGTGCTGAGTTTAATTTCTTTTATAAATTATTGAAAAGAATGATTAATAGTTAGTTTTGTTGGGTAAAATGTTCATTTAATTATATGCAATTTTTTTTTCTTCAAAGTGACCAAACAACATTAAATATTTAAATGAAGCTTTACACAACATTGTAAACTTCACCTCTGTCTTAAGGTGATGTATTCTGGACTTTTATATGTGGTAAATTATTACATGCTTTTATTCAACCATTATTTTGATTCTTTTCCCTTTTAAATTTTCATTGATATGGGTTCAAATATAATATGCTTTTGTTCAACTAATATTTTTATTCTTTTTGTCCCATTAACAGCTGTATTTTTGTAATCTATTCGCCAAACTTTGAATTTGGAACAGTCCATTTAAAGTTTAAGAGATTTCAAAAAAAGCTGCCATTGATGGAAGATTTTGTATTGATATATCAAAAGCCAAAAATCAACGATATATCGAATTCATTAGCTAATGTTTAGTGGAAACTTTTTGAAAATGTGTATTAATATACTATCATCTTTGTGTTATACACAAGCATGTTTTATTATGCTCCCCGAAAAAATTTCGGGGGAGCATATAGTCGCCGCCTTGTCCGTGCGTCTGTCCGTCTTTCCGTCCGTCCCCTTTTCTTGTCCGGGACATAACTTTGAAACAACAAGAGGTATCAATATGAAACTTTGTAGGTAGATAGATCTCATTAAGTAGGCGTGCAGTGCACAAGAACCGTAACTCTGCCTTGCCTAATTTTTGAATTATTCCCCTTTGTTTATTTTTACACTTTGAACTTTGTCCGGGACATAACTCTAAAAGTATAAGAGGTATCAACATGAAACTTTGTAGGTAGATAGATCTCATTGAGTAGAAGTGCAGTGCACAAGAACTGTAACTCTGCCTTGCCTAATTTTTGAATTATCCCCCTTTGTTTATTTTACACTTTGAACTTTGTCCGGGACATAACTCTAAAAGTATAAGAGGTATCAACATGAAACTTTGTAGGTAGATAGATCTCATTGAGTAGGTGTGCAGTGCACAAGAACCGTAACTCTGCCTTGCCTAATTTTTGAATTACCTCCCTTTGTTTATTTTACATTTTGAAATTTTTTCGGGACATAACTCTAAAAGTATAAGAGGTATCAACATGAAACTTTGTAGGTAGATAGATCTCATTGAGTAGAAGTGCAGTGCACAAGAACCGTAACTCTGCCTTGCCTAATTTTTGAATTACCTCCCTTTGTTTATTTTACACTTTGAAATTTGTCTGGGACATAACTCTAAAAGTATAAGAGGTATCAACATGAAACTTTGTAGGTAGATAGATCTCATTGAGTAGAAGTGCAGTGCACAAGAACCGTAACTCTGCCTTGCCTAATTTTTGAATTATCCCCCTTTGTTTATTTTACACTTTGAACTTTGTCCGGAACATAACTCTAAAAGTATAAGAGGTATCAACATGAAACTTTGTAGGTAGATAGATCTCATTGAGTAGGTGTGCAGTGCACAAGAACCGTAACTCTGCCTTGCCTAATTTTTGAATTATCCCCCTTTGTATATTTTACACTTTGAACTTTGTCCGGGACATAACTCTAAAAGTATAAGAGGTATCAACATGAAACTTTGTAGGTAGATAGATCTCATTGAGTAGGTGTGCAGTGCACAAGAACCGTAACTCTGCCTTGCCTAATTTTTGAATTATCCCCCTTTGTTTATTTTACACTTTGAACTTTGTCCGGGACATAACTCTAAAAGTATAAGAGGTATCAACATGAAACTTTGTAGGTAGATAGATCTCATTGAGTAGGTGTGCAGTGAACAAGAACCGTAACTCTGCCTTGCCTAATTTTTGAATT